AAAAGCAAAAAAAAAAAAAAAAAAAAAAAAAAAAAATCCCATTGGAGCCACCCCCCCTCCATGCAGCACACAGCAAAAGCCCCAGAGCCTCCATCCAGCCCTTCCTGTGCTGCTGCTGAGCAGACACCGTTGCCTGTGCGGGCAGAGCCGGGGGACGTGCGGTGCTGGAGCGACATGAAGCAGGTGCAGGGAGGCTGTGGATGCCCTGAGGCTGTTCGTGGCTTTTGCTGGAGTAACTCCTGCAGTCAGGCAGCACCTTGCCGCACATCCCGGGCAGGCAGCGGGGAGGTGCAAGATGACTCAGGCCATGCAGAATTGGAGAGCGCCGTGGTGCCAGGGAAGTTCCAAGTGCTCAATGAGCCCCCATGCCAACAGCTAAAGCCGCTGTTTAATACGAGCGCCAAGCAATGATTACTGCGATGCTCGCCTGACAGCACCCCCGGGAGCAGAGAAACCACTTACCTTAATGCAGCCAACTATTGTAGTTGTAAGAGCAGAATTATACTGAGTGCAAAGAACCGTGGAGTACATCAAAATAAACCTGCAGGAGGAAGAGCCAACATCAGGCTCCATGAACCAGCAATGTGCGCTCGCAGCCCAGAAGGCCAATCGTATCCTGGGCCGCATCGCAAGAAGCGTGGCCAGCAGGTCAAGGGAGGTGATTCTGCCCCTCTACTCTGCTCTGGTGAGACCCCACCTGGAGTACTGTGTCCAGCTCTGGAGCCCTCAGCATAAGAAAGACACGGACCTGTTGGAGCGGGTCCAGAGGAGGGCCACGAAAATGATCAGGGGGATGGAACAGCTCTCCTATGAAGAAAGGCTGAGAGAGTTGGGGTTGTTCAGCCTAGAGAAGAGAAGGCTCCGGGGAGACCTTATTGCAGCCTATCAGTACTTAAAGGGGGCTTATAAAAAAGATGGCGGCAGACTTTTTAGCAGGGCCTGTTGTGACAGGACAAGGGGCAATGGTTTTAAACTAAAGGGGGGTAGATTTAGGCTAGATATAAGGAAGAAACTTTTTACACTGAGGGTGGTGAAACACTGGCACAGGTTGCCCAGAGAGGTGGTGGATGCCCCATCCCTGGAAACATTCAAGGTCAGGTTGGACAGGGCTCTGAGCAACCTGATCTAGTTGAAGATGTCCCTGTTCCTTGCAGGGGGGTTGGACTAGATGACCTTTAGAGGTCCCTTCCAACCCAAACGATTCTATGATTCTATGACACGCTTCAGGCATTGCCATTCATCTCTGCATCTCTCCTCCTCTTTTCTAGAGCGGTATTTGTACCACCACTTTTTTTGGCTAAACCTGCACTGAAGCAGGGTAGGAAATAATTTCCATCTGCCATAGCTCTCAGAAATGGTGTCCCTATCAGGACTAAAGATTTAGATACATTTTTTATATTTTTTTTTTTAACCTAGAACAGCTCAGACCACCAAAATATGCTACTGCTGGAACCCACCCACCCAGCCGCTGGTTGACGGCTGTGCCCCAGCCCTCGGAGGCGGGCAGCACCTGCCATAGCAGTGTACATGCTTACCCCATTACACACGACAGCGTAAACTGCACAATGAAGAGCGTGTCTGCCCAGCCCTGGTACTCCATTGCCTGCAAGAAACACACCCCAAACCTTAGAGGAGGAGAAGGAGACGCAGTAATTCACAGCAAGGTGAGAAACAAACCTCTGACATCGGCTTTCATATCACAGCAGAAAAAAAAAAAACCAAAACACAGCCCAGCCTGACATCCTGGGGCTGCAGAAGGGCCAGCTGCCCACGGCAGCATCACCTTCCAGCCCAAGTGAGCACCGTCTTCCTGGAAAAAGCAGTGAATAACAGTCATACAAGCAGAAGGAACCAGAAAAGGCATTTCCTAGCCACTTGTTGTCCAAAATCACTCTCTTGAGAGCCCCTCAGCAGCAGTTGAGGTCACCCACATTTTGTGCATCTGAGCTGCTGGCAGCAGCGGGAGCCTCTGAGGCCCCTGGCCACATCGGGGCTTGCTGCAACGCAACCCCAGTGAGAGAGCCCTGCCACCGCCACCCACAGCGACAGCTCTCCGGGCTTCCAACATTTGAAAGGGACATGAAAAGTTCACATATAGATTTAGTAAATTCTGGGGGGAAGCTCAGAAGAGCTCTCACCAGGTGCTGGGATTAGCGGAGCAAACTGCAACGTTTAGACAGCGTGTCCCAGGGGAATTTAACCTCTAGGGACAGTGGTGACAAAATGGCTAAAGGAAGTCTGGATTTCACGGTAGGGCTTTTTTTAATTGGGTGTTGTTTGTTTTTTTGGGTTGGGGGGGGTTTGGTTGGTTGTTTGTTTTTGTTTAATTATTTATTTAAAGTTACACTCCACACAGCCAAACCCACGTTTTTGCCAGCTGCAGGTCTGGGGATGACTCCAAGGACAAAGCTCCAGCAGCAGAAAATGGTTTGCAGCGGGGACAGGGAGGGAGGCCAGAGGGTGGTGCTGCCAGCCAGGCTGGGGACACGGGTCAGAAGGAACCTCATGCAGCTCAACAAGGGGAAGTGTAAAGTCCTGTCCCTGGGGAGGAACAACCCCAGGCACGAGGACATGCTGGGGCCGGCTGGTAAGCAGCTCTGCAGAACAGCCCCAGGGTGCTGGTGGACACCAGGTTGACCATGAGCCAGCAACATGCCCTTGCTGCAAAGAAGGGGAATGGTTTCCTGGGCTGCATTGGACAAAGTGCTGCCAGCAAGTCAAGGGAGGGGTTCCTTCCCCTCTGCTCAGCGCTGGTGAGGCCACCCCTGGAGTGCTGGGTCCAGTGCTGGGCTCCCCAGTGCAAGAGAGACACGGACATACTAGACAGAGTCCAGCAAAGGGCCACCGAGATGAAGGGACTGGAGCATCTCTCCTATGGGGAGAGGCTGGGAGAGCTGGGACTGCTCAGCCTGGAGCAGAGTGGGCTCAGGGGGGTCTCATCCATGTGTATAAACACCTGCAGAGAGGGTGCAGAGAGGACGGAGCCAGGCTCTTCTCAGTGGTGCCCAGTGCCAGGACCAGAGGCCATGGGCACAAACTGACACACGGGACGGTCCCTCTGGACATCAGGAAACACTTTTTCACTGTGAGGGTGACCGAGTGCTGGCACAGGTTGCCCAGGGAGGTGGTGGAGTCTCCATCCATGGAGATATCCAGAACCCAACCGAACATGGTCCTGGGCCACCTGCTCTAGGGGATTGGACCACATGAGCTCCAGAGGTCCCTGCCAGCCTCAACCAGTCTGTGATGCAGTGAGGAGGTGAGGGCAGAACAGGGCAATAGCTGGTTCCTCCAACCTCCCCTCCCACTGGGGCAGGGACTGGCACAGGGGAGAGAAGGGCTGCCAAGCACACGGGGATCCTGCCAGGCAGCTGGGACTGTGCTTTACAACAGGGACATGAAATACCAGCCTGAGGGGGACCTTCCTGCAGGCAGTCCATCCCTTTCACCCCCAGAAATTATTTGCAGGGCTTTGCTCACCGCCATCAGCATGCCCATTTCTGCCTCTCACAAAGCATGGCATGACGAGACATTGTTACCTTCGATGCTTGTTAATGAAACACAAAATTTAACACATCCACATTCATGAGTATAGTGAGAGGCTTTCCTATGCAACCCCCCCTCTCCCCAGCATGGCCCCCCACGATGCGGCCCCCCATCCCAGCTCTGCCCCAGGAGCCATCCCTATGCGAGACATGTTCAGCTGCACGCCCTTCACAAGAAGGTTTTTCATCAGGCTGCAAACGTGGAGTTTCCTGGCAGCAGCCCCAACAGAGTGCATCTTTGTCTGCCTCCGGCTGCCAGGAGCTCAGCCAGGGAAAAAGAAGTTTATTCAGGGGAGAGAAGAAAAAAAAAAAAGGCAATTTCTCCACAGGCTGAACAGAGGCTGCACAGTGCAGCACAGAGCAACATTTTGCTCCCCGGCTGCCAGTTCCTGCTTATAAATGAGCACTTTATCCCCAAATATATCCCACTGAGTCGCCCTTTAAGAAGGGCAGGGTCTGAGCTACCTTCACCCCATGCAACCACTTCTCCTTGCTAATCGCAGCTCATTATCTTAGCAACTGCTTACTGGGGCTCGTCATCAGGGCATTAAGCTCCTAATGAGAAAAAAGCCACCAGGCTCTCCCTGACCAGGTATGGCTGGGGTGGGACGAGATGGGACAGGGGTGTCTGCAGGGGCCATTGGGACCCATGGGGGTCTGGGTGGGCAACACCTCCAACCTTCAGCATTTGCCTTCCCTGCTCATGGAGAGGGATGCCCCTTCGTGCAGGCACGAAAAGTGAGTGCTCTTGCTCAGGAGAGCCAACCGAGTATAGCTGCACATGAGTGTAATAATAATAATACAATATAAATTTCAAGTACACAGAACCGCATGTAAATCAGACCGTGTCCTGTTGGGGCAACATGGGCAAACTGATCTCCAGAGCAATTCAACATAATAACCACCCCAGTAAGAGGGAAGGACAGAAGGAAGTTTGAAGACGCCCATTTATTCTAAAAATACTTGACTTCTTTGTTTTAAATAATATTTGGTTTCACTTATTGCTCTCGCACTTCCCCATTCCTCAAGCATTACAAAAATGCTTGAATGGAGCAACTCTGTGGATTTAAAGTCCAATGTAAGACTTACAGTTACTTTCTACTTACACGGCTTCCCTCTCTACCCCAAAACTTGGCCTCAATCATCCTTTGCCCCAGCCTCTTCCCTCAGATGCTACACAGTACTTATTTGCAAGTTGGGGATAATGAACTACTTTGTAGTTTCACGTTTTGAGTATTTCCCATTTTACGTAGGAAGGCTGTTACAGAAGAGTGTGTTGTAACAAACAGTAAAATGTTCTTCTAAGCAACCCATTTTGCCCATAAGGTATTGTGCCACTAAAGATTTTGCTTTTGGGGGCAGGAATCCTACCTTTTGCGCATCTCCGGTGAAGTAGGCAATGGTCAAGGTGGGAAGGATCATAAACAGTGCATTGTAGTATAGCAGACCGTATTTTCCCAGCTCCTAGAAATAAGAAACATCTGTGTATTTAAGTTGGTTACAAACAGGCACATAAAGCCTTATTCATATTGCTACTGAAGACTGGGTCTTGTGAGCTAAATCTACATGGGATTCTCAGAGACAGAAGAGTTGGGAGTTTTGTTTGTTGTTGTTTTTTTTAATATATATATAAATATATACACACACGCATATATTTTTATTTTTTTAATATATATGTGTATTAAAAAAAAAATATATAAAAGAGACTTGGGTGACAAGCTTATTCATATTGCTACTGAAGACTGGGTCTTGTGAGCTAAATCTACATGGGATTCTCAGAGACAGAAGAGTTGGGAGTTTTGTTTGTTGTTGTTTTTTTTAATATATATATAAATATATACACACACGCATATATTTTTATTTTTTTAATATATATGTGTATTAAAAAAAAAATATATAAAAGAGACTTGGGTGACAAGCTTGCAACGGGCTTTACGGCCACCACCAATCAAAATGCCGTTTCTTTGCTGTCGCAAGGGACTGCGGTCATAACCGGCACAGGGGCATGGCTTTGGTTAGCACCATTTGGCAATGCTGGCACCGAGAGCAGCACAGCAGTATTGCCAAACCTTCTGGACAGGAGATTTTGGGAGAGGGATGGGGTAGCACCGGGTGAGCCTCCCCTCTTTGCCCCCTCAGATGCAAACTGCTGCCAAACCAAGCACAACACTGCAATGCCCAGAACGAAGCCGAAGGTCAGCCTACCTTTGAATCCAGCTTCTGTTTCACATAGGCACCGTTTGCAGCTGTTAAGGCATCGTTAATAAGGATAAAAATATATCCTTCCAGATCGAATGCCAAGTCAGCACTGGGAAAGGAAAAAACCCTGAGTTAAAGCTTTAAGCTGTGCAGAGTGTAACACTTGCAAGATTTCTTCCACATTCTGTTTAGCCAGTAAGTTGTCAGAAAGAGTTAATCATACAAGGAGGGACTGGGATTTGGGTCGGTAAAACATTCTTTCCTACTAGAGAGCATGTCTGAGAGTAAAACATCAGCATTTACTCTCTCTCTTCTTGGGACTACCGTGGTACTTGATTCACCTTAGCTTTGCTGGCTGGCCCACGCAGGGACCCTTCAGAGACAGAGGAGAGGGGAGAGCAAACCGGGAGCTCACCTAGCAGCTACGAACGCACCGATGATCATAGCAAATACTGTCATCTGAATACTCCAAGAAAACTTTTTCCTGAAAAGAGATGTAGAAGGACATTGCCATCATCTACAGCTAAATCTTCACTGAAGTATTGCGAGCACTTTGGAGAACAGCAGGGAGAAGCCTTTCCTCCCAGCACATACAGAGGGAGGGGGGGGAAAACCCCAAGCAAACCAACCTGTGCAAAAGCAGCAAGTAAAAGCTAGACATTTTTAGACAATTACCTCTATGATTTAAAGAAATACAACTTAGCATCAATGAGGTTCAAATTTACGGAGTGCTACAACTCTGCCTATGGCAGCGAACGGTTCAGCTGTGCATGGGGCGCTTGGCACTGCGTAGGGACCAGCCCAGCACCCTGAGCACTGCAGTGCCAGCCCTGGGGAGGGGGCTGTCGGCACACAGCATGAGCAGTTTTGGGGTCTCTGTAGGCACCCGGGCGGCGGAGAGCCGTTAGCAGGGGCAGACGGGCACAACACCCTCTGCTTCCAAAACTGCACTGCACAGCCAGGCTGCTGCAAGTGGAGACAGAGCACATCCATCTTCCCCCCACCTGGCAGCTACACATCGCACCTTGTCTCGCCCAGCTCCCTCCAGGCATGCAGAGAGGCAGCAGGGAAAAGGGCTGTGCAGATCAAGGCAAGCAACACACTGCTGCTCTCTGTATCCACTTCCTCCGCCCACCCTCATTCCTAAAACCTAGCTTAGAGCCAAAACCCCTGACCACACGGATCTCCAACACACAAAAACTCACTGACATGCTGCACGTCATTCCAACACCTTCAGACTTGTGTAACTCTAACTGGTATCTGTCACTGAGAGCCCTGGAGAGAAGGGGCTGGGAAGACTCACTTGAGCAAGAATCCTTCGGCAAACATTGTAAACAGGATGGAAAACCTTCGCAGGACAGTGAACATCGGCAGGCTGCAAGAGGAAGTTTCAGCAGGGTGAAAGGGCTTCCCCCCTCGGGTGCTGACGAAACGCAGTTCTGCAGCCACCCACAGAGCAATGCCCCAAGTGGGCACTGGGATAAGGGCTCCAGAGAACAGAGCCATGGGCGAGCCTGCCAGTTTCCTTACGGAAACTCTGTTACTCCCACACCCAAAAAGGTATCACTTATGTCAGACCTTGCCAGGGTGGGGGACCCCGCGGACGGCCCCAGACCCTCACCTATGGTGGGTGAGGGCCGGACCTGCATCCCTCCCTTACCCACAGGCTGGGGGAAAGCATTCAGAAACACGCACGTGGCTTATTTTAGCGTGGGCAGAGGATGAACCGTATCGCCCCGAGCGGCTCCTGCTCGGGTCACCCACACCCCTGCAAAGCCTTAGGGCCCAGCAGCAGCTCCCCACGAACACCAGACCCCCCCACAAGGACCCTGTTGTATACCCCCCAGTAGAGAAAAGCCATCCATACTTCAGTTTCTTTGTGCTGAACAGTCCTGTGATCTGGTTCCCAAAATACAGAAGAGGTAGAGGAAACGTCTAGAAAATTTTAAGAGGGATAACACACTGTGTGAGCGACCAGAGAAAGCCAGGGAGCTCCCCAGCAGGACCTCATTTTATAAACGTGTATGAAATTATTTCCACCCGCGATGGAAATGTTCACACACGCACGTGTCCCAGCTCCTCAGCCCAGAGCTGCCCCACGGCTGCAGGCTCCCGCATGGCTCACTGCTCCCAGGACAAGCACTGGCATCCCGCTGCCAAAAAGCCCGTGGTGCCCATCACGGGTGAGGGGCTGGGGCAGAGACCACCGTGCGGCCTCGGGGCAGAGGAGAGGTGCCCGGGGAGGAAGCTTACCCGCCGGGGAACGTGCCTGTCAAGGTCGGGGAACTTAACAACCCGCAACGCCTTGCCCGCCCAGAGCACCGCCACTGTCGCCAGCATCTGCAAGAGAGCAGGGGTCAGCCCAACCGCCCCCCGCATGGCAGGTCAGGGGGGGACAGGACAGAGGGGACCCCACTCACCTGGCCCAGCCCCACACACAGCGAGGACGGGAACCTGCGGGCAGAGAGCAGACATCAGTGGGGGCACCGACGT